AGACTCTTCACTCTTAAACGACTAACGGCATTGCAGTTCAGTAGTAGGTGGTGAGCTGTATCCTCTCCATCTTCGCCTACAGGTACCGTTTTCTTCCAACCCGAATTCCTGTAGGTGTTCCTTAAGTTTTTTAGAGTTTTGAGACTTTTCTTGCAAAGGTTGGTCAGCAGTTCTGATATTTTTTGGTGAAAGTTACCCAATAGATCTTTCCCCTGGTATGCTGTTCTAGCCATTGTTTGTTCCAGTTCCCTTCGTTTTTGACGATTCCTTGGAAGTGCGCATTTCCGAGGCCCCAAAATGGTTCTGGCCCAGTGAAGGGTGTAGAAGTTCTCGTTCTCGCAAGTGTGTCTGCGCATTCGTTGATCTCTACCCCTATGTGTTTAGACATCCAGAGGATGGTTACTTTTTTTTCTTCTCCTGAAGGCTGTCACTCACTAGAGTGTAGCGCACGGAAGCGCGGCGAAGAGGAATTTTATAAAATATTGTTTTAAACAAGAGTACGCTCACTTGTCGGAAGAGCACCGATCGGCATACTCCCATTTAAAACAATGTATTATAAAAAAATCCTCTTCGCCACGCTGCCGTGCGCTGCGCTCCAGTGAGCGTCACCCTTAACTCATTGAGTTTCTGTTGACTTTCCCATACTGTCTGAGAAGTGATGACTGAGGAGCTCAATGTTTTGATAGCTGCTTAGCTGTCAGACATTATTGTAATTCCGTGTTTCCAATATCCTCTGTTCAGGCTAAACTGCACGCATTGTCCGATTGCATGCAACTCCGCTCGAAAGATACTTGGTGATTTGCCCACCGGCTTCGAGTATCTGGTCCAAGGCCCGAATCCTCTAGTTTTCTCAGCAGTCTTGGAACCGTCCGTATTTCGTTTGATGATTTTGCTCTTACGGACCAAATAGATTCTATGTTCCATTTGTTTATCGTGCTCAGTTCTACGTGAAAGTTTTTCTCTAAGCTTGCAGACCCAAGCAGCTCAGCGGTTGTGTTTTCGCTTTGCATGCAGTGGGTCTCGGGTTCGAATCCCGGCTAGGTGCATGGATGTTTGTTTGTTTGTTTGATTTGGTTTGTGTGTGATGTTGGAGGCTTTGTCGACAAACCACAGTGGTGGTTTCTGACAAGAAAGCAGAAAAAAAAAAAAAAAAAAAAAAAAAAAAAAAAAAAAAGCTAAGTTCCAAACAATCATATATTTTGGTAAATCCATAAGGTGTGCACAGTTTGGAAGAAGAAAAGTTGTGTCAGAGTGCATTTTCCCTTGAATACCGATCGTAGCCAGTCTATGATGTATGATCCACTGGCAACCTGCTTTAGTATTATGTGGAGTGGTGTCAGGTCTAGGATGAATTCTGGTGTCGCAGTTGAACATGATCTCATTGCTCCTGCAACAGCAACACGCAAGTTTCAGCACTTCTCGAGAAGTTTTGAATCTAGGGTTATTCCTACTTAGAAATTTCACTTCTTGAGGCGCATGTGTCTCAAGTTCGGGAGTTTTTTCTTCTTGCTCTTGGCCATAATGACAATCGGCGTACAGGCCCGTAGCTAGAGGGGGGCCAGAGTGGGCAATGCCCACTCTGAAAAAAAAAGTTGCCCACTCTAGAGTGGATTATAGAAAAAAATATATTACATAGGAAAAAAAAAAATAACTACATAAAATCACAAAGCAATTTATGTGATTTAATTTCTGTTTTTCCGGATAATATTATCAATGCTTTTTAAACTGCAATTATATTGAAGAAGTTAACGCCTATTTGCTGCGACCATAGATTTTGCGACCGTTTCCCGTTTATAAATCCACAGTTTAGTTCATATTTTACCTAAGGTGGAAGGCATTAATGATATTTGAAATCTGCCAGTTCTGTGTTCTGATTGGTTGATTTTTTTAAATTCGTCTGCAAAAAGAGAAAAAACCTCACATCAGAATTGGTTCAAAATTGGCATAAACATTCTTTGATCGATTATCTACAATCCGAATATTTCGGTTTTTTGATATTTTGGTATTTTGCGAGATTTTAGAAATAATCCATAACGACTATAGGCAACAGGGCTGGGACTTGATATCTTCTTCTCTCTCTTGGAAATCAATAGAGAGGGGACCTCAATAGAGATAGAGAAAAAATCTCTATACGTTACAGAGTCCTAGCCCAGATATACACTTTCCATTTCGAGAAAAACGCAAATTATCGAAAAACTAAAATATTTGGATTTTAGATAATCCATCAAAGAGCCAATTCTGATGTGAGTTGTTCTTTCTCGTTGCAGATGAATTTTAAAAAATCCACATAAAACTGCCAGATTTCAATGTCATTAACGTCCCTTCAAGTGCGCTTTAATGTAAAGTTTGTTTTTTATTTAAAGATAATTCCCCAAGTCAAAAATTTAGTAACTATGTTGGCAACACAAGCCTTTTCTACATAAAAAATTTGAAAGCATTGACAATTTTACATTGTATTGCCAACATAATGTCATTTTGACTTTTAACTTTAAAAAAAAAACAGACTTTATTTTTATTATTTCTTTGTGTTTTGTTAAGGTTTTATATTTTATAATCAGTTATTATGTATTTTTGAAAATAAAGTTTTTGCATCTTGTCGTGATTTTAAGTAATGCTGAAAATAAAAATAAGCTTGCCCCCTCTAAATGTTTGGTTGCCCCCTCTGGAATCAAAACCTGGCTACAGGCCTGTCGGCGTATCCAAAATAGGTGAAGCCCTGATCGGCCAGTATACTCAAGAGTTTATCAACCACTAGATATCACATCAAAGATGAGAGAACCCCTGTCTGTGGACATCTTGAGTACTTACTTAAATGGTTTGTGCACCTTCGTCAGTTTCTGCATTTCTAGTGGCTAGCATTTCACACAGCAGAAGTGACCACTATTTTCTGAAGGCCAGAATCCTCTTTTCTTGAGAGATAATGCCGGTATCCGCATTACAAGGAAGCTAGCATGGACGAAGAGATTGACTTGTGGAGATGCCATCAAAACAGCCATAGCGCACGACAGCATAATGAGCTTGTACCAAAAAAGACTGAACAGAACGTGTCGACACGCAGGAGAGTTGGAAAATCATGAGAACAATAATATCTGGAGATATTACTACTATATCCTTTATAACAGAGCTCAATTCGGATGAACAGCTTAAAACACTACTAGCAGAAGAACGATCAGTTTTAACAAGAATATACCCGTAATGTGACGAAAACTATTGGCTGGCCGATATCGCTGACACTTCCTGAGGTTGAAATAATGTGTATAAGTCTGAAAAACCGAAGTTTATGATTACTTGTGAAAACCTCAAAAGATGCAAATCGTATTGTATAGTATTTTGGACAGGCCAGCCAATTTTCATATCTCGGAACCGAAATTGAACCAACGTGAAGTGAGACCTACAATGATAGCATCACGTATCGCAGGTTGCCCACGAGATATCGTATGCGGAGAAACAATAAGTATCTCAAAACGGAGAGGAAGCTGAAAATGTATAAAGGCACGGAAAAATCTAATTTAATACACGGGAAACAAGGCGAGATACTACCGATACAATAGAAGAGCTGAGAACAGTAAAATAAGGATAGTAGGAGCATCCATGATTTGGATTTGGGAAAACACAATACTCCAATAAGAAAGAGAACAATATTAATAGCTCCAAAATCTTGAAGTCAGGAAAAGCATAGTTTGACAAAAAAGCCGTACCCTACCTCTATGGATACTCACAACAAAAGAAAACACAAAATAAATTATTATCACGGTTTTACATCTGATTTCTGATATCCCAATATTATAATATTGTCTGCTATGTCCTACTATGTTTCCATCTTTATTAGAGTGGTCACGGTTTAAATATTATTAATGTGGGTAGATTTGTGTAGGAAGCCATTAAATTTCTCCAATATTAGTTTAGAATATATTGCTATTTTATTACTAGGTACATGTTCTATCCCAGCAGAGTGAAACTATACTTCTAAATATAGTGCGAAACGTCAAACAAAGGAGAAAAGTTTGTTTGCAACATTACTTTTAAAATTTTATTCGGCAATTTAATTTGATAAGGCATTAGCATGCTTTTGCTCAACAAAACACTCTCAAACTAATAACGGATTCTAGTTACAAATTAAATAGTTAACAGATAAAATTTAGGATCCTTTGGTTTATGCTAAAAAGTTAGAGCTTTCTACAGATGGTGCTCTGAATTCAATTACACAGCTTCAAAGCAAACTAATTTTATTACAGAAAGTCCAGGAAAGGTTTGGTTGTAGTTTCGTTGTTTCTGAAGCTACGGAACATACCAACCATATTTTTTTTTAATTAGATTTTTTTTGTACTTAGACGCAGAAAATTTGCATAATATTTGATTATTTAAAAGTTTTATATATTCGAGATTAAAAATATAATAACTATTGGTACCAGATGCCTCTTAAATTTCCCCATAATTTTTTTTAATGTGCTAGTGCAATAGAAGCTAACGGGCTTTCAAAAAAAGATCCAATCAAAGATTGCTTTGATTACGAAAACGTACGTCGCATTATGGTTCCTTTATTGGTCAGGATTTTCGACATGACATTTTGACATTAAAGTTCATTGGCATTCAAAGGACATACGTTTAAAAAACCATAGCAATCTTTGATTGGTTTGTTTTTTTGAAGACCCGTTATTAAATTCAATATTCAGTCCCTACATGGGTTGTTAAATGAAATAAATTTCAAAACGAATTTTACCAAAATAATGCTTCCAGTACGTTGATCTAAATTTAATAATGGTTTAACCATAAATGTGTAATTTCCGATTTAATAAACAAGTTTATAACATGCAAAAACGTTGGTTAATACAATTTTCAAATAAAAGCTTTTGGTCTGGATATATATTCTAAAGTAGGATAGGCTTACTTTCATTACACCCGATACCTAAGCTATACATTATATTAAAGCAAATCAAAATAGCTTCAGTAACAAGGTAGCGAGAGGGTCGATTTTTTAACACTTTTGTGTTCTTATAAAGTGCTGATGAGGGTTTCGACGGGACTTTCCAAACAAATGTTGTGGTCAAACATAACGGCAGCTGCGTGTACATCCCTCCAGGTATCTTCAAGAGCACATGCAAGATAGACATAACGTGGTTCCCCTTTGATGATCAACACTGTGACATGAAGTTTGGTAGCTGGACCCACGATGGTAACCAGGTATTGCACACAAATTATTTTATTGTTTTAGATTAAAAATACAGTACACTACTTTCAATTGTTCGACCAGTAATCAATATCAGTACAAATTCATTAAATTTTTGAGTCGCTTACATAGGTAGGTACCTACCTAATCTGATTTTTTGCAAATTACGTACCTACTAAACAGTGTCCCGATATGGTTCAAATCATTATTGAATTCAAGTTGTAAAAAAATTAGATTGAAAAAAGTGATAAATGTGAGTGATGGTCTGGTTGATTTCACCATAAATGTTTTAAATATGGGAGTCTATACAAAAAGAGGAACGAAATTATTTGTCGAATGGTACGAAATAATGTATAGGGGAACTCAACATTCTCTTGACTTTTCTAGGATAAACAGGAATATATTGAATACCAAAACAAGTTAATCACCAAAAGTTAGGTTTAATTTATGTGGAAAGAAAAATGCGATAAATACAATCCGCTTGAAAAGAAAAAGTGTTTGTGGTCGGGATAAAATGTATGTCACTCTTAGCCAAATAAAATTGTGAAATTATTTCCATCATGACAATTATTATTGGCAATAGTTTTCTTGCTAAAATTTATTCCACAAGGCAAGCCAACTGTAGCCTCTTTAAGTTATGAGAACTTAAAGAGGCTAGAGTGTCCTGGAAATTAGAAAACTGAACTTAAAACTTTCAAGCGTTTTATCGATAATCGATTTGCATTCACATCTTATTACTCGCTAAAAATTATAAATAGCTGCCTTAGTGAAATAATGTTCACCTTGTATAGTTTTCGACGATATTATTGATCAACCAGTACCTATACCTCCGTAGAATGAGGTTGGTGCTTTTTTACTTCTCATGATGTAAAATGTATAATAAAATAAAGCTTATACCTACTTATCCAATCTAAATTGGAAACTAAGGAATTTCACTTGTTTAATTTTTTGTAAATTCAAAATAATAGCTGTTTTTTCAGAATCATATGGAAATTCTTTTGATTACTGGTCCAACTGTTACCTACTGATTATTTTACAAATTATACCTCACAATTCACACTCAGTCTAACAGATTAATTTAAAATATAACGAATCTGATGAAAGGCCTTAATATATTCCTATAAAATCCATCCCTGCAGTTAATTAAACTCGGCCATGTTCAAAAAATGTCCATATGTTTCAGGAAAAATAATTAATTGCATCACGTCTTATAAAATTCATTTACACTGTAGATCACAAATCTATAAACAATGTAGGCAACTGAACCATGTAAGGTCGGTGTCAAGTCCGCTCGTCGGAAATTAGTATTGTTACGATATCGCTAACTCCGGGCCAGAAGAACAGCGTCCGCCGCCAGGCTGTCAAGAATCTAGCGGATTATTCTACTATAATCTGGAAAATAAGATTATAGTGTGTACTCTAGATTTTACAGGAATAGATTTAGGGATATATAAGAAGGCTGGCATTGGTTTGTAAGTTAAGTTTCAGTTCGACTGTGATACGATTTAATTAGTGATTGTAAAGAGTTTAATTGTTGAGTTAGTTATTAAAGTAATTAGTGTCAGAGTGTATTGTTAAGTGGAATAAATGATTGCTGTGTTAATTGGACTTTGATTTTTGGAATAAACGAAACGAACAACGAACCCGAGATTTCTGTCAGGCAACCCAAAGCCGTGACATTGGTGCCAGAAGTAGGATATAAAGGACTGCAGAGTGAAAACCAATTGCGGAAGTGCGGGGGCACTAGTGTAGTGTAAAAACTGAACACTAAGTGAACACTGGGACAGTTAGTGCAGTGCAAACAGTGACAATCACAAAAAGAGACTTAACCGATCGTGTGAATTACCCCGGAAGTGACTCTATACCCGATTTAGACTGTGATAGTGTAACGTAGTAAATCTTCGAGTGAGTTCTAGAAAATTCTATTTGGAAACTAAGGGAGATATCGAATTTGTGACTTCGCCGACGTATTCAGAACATCAATCGTCATTCAGAAGAGGTTTTTCGAGGAGTTTCGGGAAAATTCTAGAACATTCTATTTGGAAACCAAGGGAGATATCGAAATTGTGACTTCACCGTCGTGTTTGCTGTATCAATCGACATCTAGAAAAGAAGTTTCAAGAAAATTCCAGAACATTCTATTCTAGAATAAAGCAAGTTATCCAATTTGTGACTTCACCGGCGTGTTTGGAACTTCGAGAAAATACCAGGAAAGATAATTGAAGAAAGTTTGAGTGAAATTCTAGAACATTCTGTATATGCCTATCACAAGACAACAGGCCAAAATGGACGAACAAGTGAAGAACTCCTGTGCAAAATGTTGCAACTTCAAGAGACCAAACGACAACAAGAAAAACAAGACGAAGAAGCTAGACGACAACAAGAAGAGGCTAGAAGACAACAAGAAAAACAAGACGAGGAAGCCAGACGACAACAAGAAAAACAAGACGAAGAAGCCAGGCGACAAAAAGAACGGCAAGAAGACCTTGAACAACTACAGAAAATATTTCAAAACATACACGGATTTGTCGCTAACCTAGAACAAAAGATTACGGAAGTAAAAGCCGAAGTTAAAGATGATGTTCGAGAAGTTAAAGACGATGTTCGAGAAGTTAAAAACGACGTTCAGGAAGTAAAAGCTGTAGTCAAAGCCGATGTTCAAGAAGTTAAAGACAATGTTCAAGAAGTTAGATACGATGTTCAGCAATTAAGACAAGAAGTTGAGGACCAAGTTCAAGCAGTTCAAGCACTCAAGGATAAGGTGCGTAAATTAGAAATACAGTCCATCAATCCAGTTAGTGTTGGAGCATTCTCCAGTATGAAGATAAAACCACCAACTTTTGACGGTTCTACATCCTGGACCATGTATATCCGACAATTTGAAGCTGCTGCAAATATCAACGGATGGAACAATCAAGAAAAAGCTGCAGCACTGATAGTGGCGCTACGAGGACCAGCCTTAGATCTTCTTCAGTCCATTCCTTCAATCTACCAACAGAATTACCAGCATTTAAGTCAGACATTAGAATTGCGCTTCGGAGACCATTACAGACAAGAAGTATTCAGAAAAAAACTATTTCTTTGTTTTGTACTTGTCTCTATTTCCTGATCGTCATCTCCACATGCCCCTAGTTTCGACATACATAAAAATGGGTAACCTACAGATTCATTATTATGAAAACACGTCGTCACTGGTCTGGTCCGCCACTGTGCTTCACGTCAGTATTAGGGAAAGGAAGGTGACGCGACGCGGACTGGTGGGAAAATTTTGACACTTAATCACAGAAAGGGGATGGTCGCGCATGGTGACGAACGTTTAGAAGTGCTGTAGCGAAAATTCAAACTATATAATATTGTTTTGCATTATCTTGAGGTTGTTTTATTGAATTAAAAGGATGAAGTTTACATAATCAGAAATAATAATAGTGAATCATCTCGGACAAAGGCACCGTCAGCGTCGGTTATGACAAATACTGCTTACACCAATACTGACTATCTATTCGCTCACCTACAGACTACCCCCTCATCTTTCCAAAAACTGTCTATATTTCCCCGGCTCTACGATTTTACTTATTTCCGATGTCCGAAATTGACAGTGGCCTTACATGGTTCAATTGCTTATATTGTTCTTAAATTCATAGTCTATAGAGTAATTTTTATTAGACGTGATGTAAATAATATTGTTCCTGGATCTCATAAAGTTTTTGGGAAGATGCACGAGTTTAACTTTAACTGCAGGGATATGCCATATCGTACTAGATAAGTCATTAAAATTCCAGCAAATGGAATTATGTTTTTGTGATGCAAGTGTTGCATTTCGTTCAACTGTAAACAAAATAATGGGCCCTGAATATTGTTTCTTTCATGGATAAAATATTATTAACTAGGAAGTTTGCTGCTATATTATAGCCGCGCAATAAAAAATCAAGTATGAAGGATTTTCAAAATATCTTTAAAAACAACTCGCCGCTGACTTCATGCGGCATGATCACAAGCATGGACGTATTGCACAAATAAATATAAGTGAGACGGATTGAGGTAAATTTAATGGAGCCTCGCAATACCCAAACTAGGAGAAGAATACAGTATCAAAAATCATGCCTAACCCTCACTTATATCTATGGTTCTGTTATGAAATATTTAATTTTTTTGTTTATTATTTTTGAACTCCTACTTCTTTCATTCAATATCCAATAATTTTCTTTAATATCCTGGAAGTTTATCTATATCACCTGATATACATATTAGGCTCAAAATGCACATTTCCAGTTTATTTGGGTCTACCTCCTTCACATCCCGGCGTTGATTATTCCGATGCTTGCATTTAGTTTCTGTTGGAACCTTTTCAAGTGATTGTTTATTATGGTTGCCGTTTCGTGAAATGTTGTTGGACCATGTTTGTTTGGTGCTTTGAGGCTTCGATTACCACTCGTTGGTTTTTGTCAATCTTGTCGATGTTCTTCACGTTACTATGGTGACACAGTATTTTTAGATAGCAACCTTTTCATTGAATCGCCATAAGATTTTCGGGAAATTCTGATATTGCAGATGGATTCTGATCTGTGGATATATCTCCTCAATGCCAGCTGCCATGATTTTTTGGTGAGGGATTAGACGCACTTTCGACAACATCCCAATTAGTTTCGAGGTTGCCACAAAAAGTATAATGCTCAGAAAGAAGTAAAACATCAGCAAGATCGGGTCGTAAACGAAAAATCCGCATCAAAATTGAGAAGAAAAATACTGAGTGTAAAAAAAAATAGTGTACCGGACTTCGAGGGGTGATACTACATATGAAAACTAAAAAAAGTTCCTATGAACATATGCCGTAAAATGCTTTTTTGTTTTGTGAGGAACTACCCTCTACCCTGATGGAAACTACCCTTTCAGAACAGTTGCGGCTTTTTTTACTATCACCATTCACTTTGGCATCGAAATTTATGCGAGAATACCAAACTTCAAGGAAAATAGTTACATTAAATCTTTTGTTTGAAGTGCTTCCTGAAGAAGGAAG